GGCCCCCACCTCCCACAGGATATCGTGGAACACCGGTAAGGGCACATGCGCCAAAGTCTTGGGTCGCACAGCAACCCGATAGCTGCGCAAGCGAAGGAAAGGACAGCACGAGGGGACCTGCAACGCAGTTTGCACGGGGTTTCTCGCGCGAACCACAATAAGAATGCGCGGAAAGGGGAGGACTTCATCGCGTCCGGAATCCGGGGACGGATCATGCTCCCAGTGACCGACGCCGAGCGGTCTGCTACGATGCGGGCGCCCTCGAGGAACCCTGTCTCTGCTGTGATGTTCCCGCGGTACATCAGCATCGACAAACCCATGCGGACCCTGTGGTAGGGGGTAGTGCATCCCAGGAGTCGACAGCAGCCCCCGCGGGCCAGACCCCCGTAGTCTTCAACCCATACCCGTAACCCTCGAGAGGTTTAGAAGGGAATAAGGTAGCGTTGGCTGTTTTTGGTCAAGTAGACTAGACGCAGGAGAGAGATAAAAGTGACAGAGAGCTAGAAGACTGCAGGTTTTTCGATTTTCCCTCCGGGAATCAGCAAGTAGTCTAATCCCAGAGTGCCATGTCATATCGCTTTGCGGAAGCACCGGGCTTGCCCACGCACATACAACAGATAGGACTGTAGGGAGGAGCGAGTCTGAAGCCCCGCTTGTCGAGCGGAGCCGGATCCTGATTCTTATTTTATTTTATCGGGGTGGGAGACTCGCCCCAACAGTGTTGGAAGCACGTGTGAGTTTGACTTCCCTGTCACGCAAAACCCGCAGGCGTACTGCTCCCGTAGTCGAGTTTATCTTTCTGGTTTCGTGTTGTTGGAGTTTTCTCTGTTGCCTTTTTTTTCATTGGAGATTCGTCATTTCTCCCTCCGCCTTAATCACCGGGTGTTGATGCTCACGGACGAAGCCTCTCTGTTCCTTCCCCCCCCGATATCCTCTCTGTTTTTGTCAATAGTCTAGTCCTGTCGACTGGTTTCGGGTGTACANCCTTTTTTTTCATTGGAGATTCGTCATTTCTCCCTCCGCCTTGATCACCGGGTGTTGATGCTCACGGACGAAGCCTCTCTGTTCCTTGCCCCCCCGATATCATCTCTGTTTTTGTCAATAGTCTAGTCCTGTCGACTGGTTTCGGGTGTACACGTATCGGACCGACTTCGGATTCTTCACCAACACAGCCTTGAGGATGATTTGTCCCGGGCGGTAGGAAGGTAATTTAGCAACTTCAGGTCAATTTGGTTTACCGGTGTTGAAGACATTCAGGATGGTTACTGTATGCTCTCCTTGTCAATTTACACCAAGAAATAACTGGACGCAGTTCAACCCCACTTTGCCACTGCAACGCTCTCGGCTGAATACGGCAACGAAGAGAATCCCCGCTGACTGACATGGCTCCGGCTAGGGGGAACGACCAGTGTTTACATCCACAGTCTACAAAAGACTTGTACTTCGAGAAAGGCTATTACGCGGCACAGGTGCGCAACACGCCGGCGCTCCTAGTGGCGAGAAGAATCGTCCACGCCAACTTCGACATGCACACAAATAAGATGGTAGTNATTTAGCAACTTCAGGTCAATTTGGTTTACCGGTGTTGAAGACATTCAGGATGGTTACTGTATGCTCTCCTTGTCAATTTACACCAAGAAATAACTGGACGCAGTTCAACCCCACTTTGCCACTGCAACGCTCTCGGCTGAATACGGCAACGAAGAGAATCCCCGCTGACTGACATGGCTCCGGCTAGGGGGAACGACCAGTGTTTACATCCACAGTCTACAAAAGACTTGTACTTCGAGAAAGGCTATTACGCGGCACAGGTGCGCAACACGCCGGCGCTCCTAGTGGCGAGAAGAATCGTCCACGCCAACTTCGACATGCACACAAATAAGATGGTAGTCCTGATCCATGAACGGTACAACATGACGAAACGAAAGCCGACGCCACGGACAGACCAACTTTCACCTTCTGCCTCAGAAAATTGTTCAAGAGCCACCCCCACTAGACACTCCAGCCCCCTCCAAAACCGACAGCGAGAAATCCATCGTAACCGGTCGGGAAAGGTAATCGTCGTCGTCCCTTCCGTCCTGCGCAGGCACTTCTGACGTCGTAAAATCACTACCGACAGAGACCATCTTCCCACTACCTGTCGGGGCGTTGCCCTCGCCCGCGTTTTCACCACCACGCCCCCCGCATCCTCCCTCGACTGGACCACTCCCTGTCGCACTGGGGCCTGCCCCTTCAACAGATTCCTGCCCGAACCCACCCACATACGCCGCCAGGTAATCGAGAAGATAATCTTTTCTTGAGTTCATTGTGCCCTTCTTAATCCCGGCGTCCTTTACGAGCACGAGAAGTTGTCTTACAGTGCACCTGTTGCTAATCTCCGCCCGGGTCATCCCCTTCAACTGATTAAGGGTGGGCGGGGCCTGGCTCCGCGCACGTCTCCCCTTTCGGTGCTTTGCACCGCCCCCCCCGCCCCCTCCTGCGGCCCCGCCTCCTCCTGCGGCCCCGCCCCCCTGTGCAACCCCCGTTGCTTCGCCACTACCGGCCCCCGCCCCTCCATTAGGCCCGACACGCGCGTTCAGCTGTTGCCGCAAAGCAGGCGCGGTCTTCGAGAACTTGAGGGAAGTATTCTCCCTTACACTCTTCGCGAAGTCACCCATTCGCACGTTGAGGATTTTCCCGACAACGAAAAGAAACATCTCCTGAGATACACTAGGATCGATGGCAGGAGGACCAGGGGGCAGCAGTTTCCCCACACTTCCTTGAGAACCTCCGCCTCGCTTACTACTTTGACAATCTCGGCTGGCAAGTCTCCGACGCAAGCAGCAAGGAAGATGGGGTTTTTCAAAAAATGGAATATGCCCCTCTCCACAGCATACACGAACTCTACCCACTCCATCGTAGGGTAAAGAAGTCCCGGACCGTTCTTCATATCGTTCTTCGAATCGACTTTTGCTACGAAATCTCTCAGCAAAGAATCAGTACATATCGCCTCCCCACTGGACCGGCGAGTGTTGTGTTGGACGACACGTACCCAATCCTGGGAAAGGTTGTGTCTTCTTTGATGCGCCCAAGCATTGCTGGCCGCCCACCCGGCAATGTAGTACAGGACTTGCCCGCGCGGTTTTGTGATCTGATACCTTTCACTCGGGTAAGAGAGCTCCACGGCCACGGAATCCTTGCGCTCTTTCACGTACACCTTGTACAACTCCTGCATTAAGGGGAGGGGATGGGGAACGGTTCGATCAGAGGAGCGCGGGCATGGGGAGAGTACCTCAGCTACTTGGCCGTGGAATACACATCAACAACATGAAATTGGATGGTTGATCAACACACCTATTCCTACCAGACATAAACACACGGCGCGCTTTCTCAAACCTACAATCACCGCAGTAACGTGCAGATGCAGGAGGATGGAAGTTTTGACTTGTTCACACACGGATGCGGAGATGACACGCAAGCCCTTCCACAAATGCCCCACTCGCTAACTGAATACCGTATCAACCCACCTCCACGTGATTGATGATGCAGGATACGTAGTGCAACGCCTTCTCTTCCTGGTGGTTTCGCAACCCTGCCTCCAACACTTCCGGCTGACTTATCCACGCCCGGAGTCTACCCTCCCAGCCAGCAAAGCGGGTCAAGGTGAACGCAGTCGCCGCCTTAGTATCAGCCTTGCGGTATTCTAAGGCGGCGACTTCGTCAACGTGGCCGTTCCAAGCGTCGGTAATCAAGCGCGTGGTCGGGGGAAGATCTTTGACCTTCTTGCAAAGCGGGCCGAGTCAGCATCTACGTCCCTCGAAGAAGAGGGGGTCCACCCTCTCCCACACCTTTTTCTTGACGCCGTCTAGGTCTCCGCGAAGACAGCTCGCGAATTGGCTCCGCACGTAAACCCTAAGATTTTGTACGGAGGGGTCGTCATCCTGCCGCATGGTGATCCAGACGGCCGTGGACAATCACAAAATGCGCGGGTGAACAGCTTGTAACCAATAGGCCCTCGTTGCTATGTTGATCAGTCGTTCAACTAAACGACGAAAGCTGATACGACTCTGCGAGTTCACGCCAACTGGAAACATTGGCTGATACTCCGTGTTTAGCATAAATTGCGCGAGCAGACTACGATCTACATGGCGATCTCACCCGAACATCACTCTGTTTTCTTCGGGAGCATCCGGAGAGTTCAACTTTGCGGAAATGACGTCGGAGTATGAACAGGGCGATACATCAAGCGGTCATCACCGACGGGGCAACACCCCGCAGAACAACGTATGAAAACATCACACAGAAAATGCACTCTTGTAGTCACTGCTGAGGCTCGTTCGACGCTTAGGTAACCCAGGCTTCAGCTTACTTTTGCGCCCTGGATGCATCTCGCGATGTGTTCCTGCATCATCGCTGTCCTCTTTCTCCTCGCCGCCCGCCTGTCATCAGTGTGCGAGAATGCCAAAGCGTTACGAACGGCGCGATCTATATGACGATAACTGCTGTCGCGGAGACGACTCAATATCGATGACCGCAACCATGTAAGTTACGGGCATTGAGACAAGTGGGGGAACTAGGCGCGAAGTCACCACACCAGCCAGGCAATTCAAGAGAACGAAGACGGAGAGAAAAATATTGCAAAAGTGTCATGGACTACAACACGACAATGGACGCCATCAACATTTCCCGCGGTAAATTCTCACCGTAACAGCCTCGTAATAACCCTGTCAGGTGATGGGGTGTCCTCGCCGAAAACAGCGCTCCGCATCCATTCCATATCGGCACCTCTGGGAGGGGAAAGGGGGAGTGGAAGACATCAAGAGGAACAAAAAAAAAACTGTTTCGTGCGTCTGCGCTTCATATATATATATATATATATTATTTTTTTTTCCTACCATTATTGGGCTTTGTCGTCTGCCCCTCTGGCCACATATGACTATCCTCCACTTCTACCAGCCAGACGACCCAACCGGGGTCACACAGGAGGGAGGGTTGGACCCCCTCCTGCGGTTCCTGCCTGAGATATTTTTATCGCGAGAAGGGTACAGTAATCCCTTCCCTCGCGACTCATGAAGTCGGTCAAGTTTACTAACAANGGTCTGCGCTTCATATATATATATATATATATTTTTTTTTTTTTTTTTCCTACCATTATTGGGCTTTGTCGTCCGCCCCTCTGGCCCCATATGACTATCCTCCACTTCTACCAGCCAGACGACCCAACCGGGGTCACACAGGAGGGAGGGTTGGACCCCCTCCTGCGGTTCCTGCCTGAGATATTTTTATCGCGAGAAGGGTACAGTAATCCCTTCCCTCGCGACTCATGAAGTCGGTCAAGTTTACTAACAACGAGCTTTGCAGCGCGTCGCTTTCAACAGAGACCAGGATGTAATTAGCGAGAAAAAAATCGTTCCGTCGGGACTCGAACCCATAACCTGCTTCTGCACCTCACGGGGGAAAGAACAACTAATTCCACTATACCTCAAGAGCGAGGCCGCCACCGAACTCGAAACACGTGGGGCATAAAAAGCCATGGCCAGGGCCACCACATGCCTCTGGCAGCGGCGGCGAATTTGGAGATTTCGGTCTACCGCTGAAATGGACTCGGTGATCGCTACACAACAGCATCAAGGTTGAACCCCGAGTATATGCTGGAAACCATAAGCTTGGTCTGTTCGTCATCGGCGATTTCTGGCGTTGCGCACGCCCCACTTTCATCCGAGGCGAAAAACATGCGCATACATTTTGTGTTTAAAAATCTGCTGAGAGGAGCACGCATGCAGTCATTCTGGTTTTAGCTCAGCCACCCACCTCTCTTGGATTGCGGAGCTAGCCGGCATTTCGGATCCAGCCGTTGTGCGATACTAATAATCTCCGATAGGACTTGAGGAGGACGGACTGTAAAGCTGTAGAGTACTGCACTGCGTCTGCTCCTTGCTGCTGCTCTTGGCTGACCCACGACTTCGAAAAATCCCTACAGGTACGAACAAACCCCTCTGTGGGTGGTCGAAGATGGACTGCGTCTCTGTACAAGCCCAACATGCCACCATGCACAACATACTACTGCTGCCGTTCACCTGTCGCCGTCCTTCCACGTCTACCTGTCCATGACACATGCTGCCACTTGATGCGACAACATCTGGGAA